AATGTAGTTTAACAGTAGGTTAAACGTAGTTTAGTTAACGGAAAGAGCCAGCCCCCGCAGCGCGCCGACGTCATACCAAGCGGTAGGAGGCGCACTCGCCAGCACGCGCATGCCCAGACGAGTACCACGTGCGACGGTGTCAGTTTCAAGGCGAATCTTAGACGGGCGGTCGCGTCCTACTCGCAGCGTCAGATTTCCCGTCCCGCCAACCCCGCCAGCGCACCTGGGGAGGGACGGGGGATACCATTACGGTCTCCATCATGCATGATGTGATGTCAGGATCCGAATGGGCGTGCTACTGGCGTGGGGTAAACTCGCCCCTAATAACAGGGGCTCGCAATCATACTCCCCCAAAGAAGCATGCCGCAGGAAGAAAAAAAAAACCACAACGCCAAACACAACTTCTATTCTAGCAATCGCCATGACCCCTGTGAGAGGGTCGCTCGGACCGCAGTGAGAGCGATGAGACTGGCCACGTCCTGTCGGAGGACAGACGAGAAGAGCTACACTGACCAAACACAACACCGAATACTGGAGTGAGGAGATTGCAGCCAAGAGAGCCAGAGCAAGAAGTTCCACCTAGACGTTTTTTATTTTGTTTTTTCTTTCAACCGGCTTTTCTCAAAGCCACCTTAGTATACAAGGGGTACATCACGCTAAGAGTAGTCTCATTTTTTAAATACAGACCTCACTGTAGTAGAGCATCTCCACCCTAGCACCGAGACTCCAGCGCTATGAGTGCAGGTACGTGCCAACGTGCTGATAGAGCGTCTGTATTTATTTCAGAATACAAATGCCGGTACAAAGTCCAAAGTGCTTGCCCGTGACCTTCACTACAGACTAAGAGAAAGGTAAGCCGATAGGTACAAACACAGTTTCAAGTTTTTATTGCCTGAGTCGATATAGTCCTGTGATAGGCCTGTTTGTGGCGAAGGGTAAGGTGTCATAGGGTGCCCGCCCCACGCTGCTGATGATCATGTGTTTGTTATGTGTTTTTATACAGGTCAATACAGGAAGAACTAAATGCGTTGTTTTACAAGCCAGATTAGACAAACTTCTTCAAAGTTTTTAGGATGTATCTCGCCGCTCTTGTCATCCTGGATATACACAGTCTGTCCCCATTTCAGTCGACTATGGAGACGCACCGGAAACTGGACTTCACATCCATCGCCAAGTTTGTCGTGCACTCGGTGCCAATCAGTGGTGAAGAATTTGTTGTCGAAGTCTTGATGATTGTATAGTCAACCGGGTCCATGTGGGTAATCGCTGCCTTTGTTTTTGAACAGGAATTCAAAGACGTCTGTGCGAAAGTTCACGCTTATATTGCACCCCCTGTTTATACCATCTTCAAGCTTTTGTTGACAGCGGCAGAAAAGGCTGACGTGCAGTCTCTGACTGAAGGCTGTGGATCTGCAAAATATCTGTGTTCACTTTTTTGCTGATATTTTCAATTGTGTCTTTGAAGGCTTACTGGAGCGCTGGGCGTGTAATGAAACGCTCTCTGACCCAGGAAGCGTCCTCCTTCCTGTACCCCGCCCACAGAACAAGGTACTCGTACTCAGCTCCGCCCGCAACTGTAGCAGACGGCGAGATACGTGGATGAGGCCCTACCTTGCCACACCGGCGCTGAACTAGACGCTCAACCTCATACACGTCTGCCTCATTCTCTGGCAAAGTGGTGTGGCCTATCCTCGGCCGTCTCAGTCCCTGGCGGCGCTCGAGCATCTAAGTCAGCGGAGCTGCGGGCGTTAAGTGCCCGGTAGTAGCCTGGAGGTCGGTGGACCAAGCGGGTCAAATAGGCTGCCATGTCGAGCTCTAGCTAGCTAGCTTTCCTGATTTCCGATGCGTATCCATGACAACATTAGCTGTTGCAAAAGAACGAGCCAGTGTACAAGCTAGAACAAGCTAAGTTACAAGGGAAAAAAATAACGGTTTCTTGTCCTTTACAGGATGACCGGAAAACCGGCTTCATTGCTGGTATTGAGACCTGCACTGACACATATATCAGTCTATGGTCGGGACTGTACAAGAATTGTGGCAGAGACCCAAGCTCGGTTGCATGCCTCATTGGAGAAGAAGCTTCAAATGCTGCGTCTTTGTAGCCAACTAGTACCTGGCCTCTGTACCAAGACTCCTTGATGCTGTCTGGAATATCAGTCAGAAGCACAACAGAGGGGATGATGCTAAATTTGTTGAAATCATGATCGCCAACTTCAAAAGTAGTACCTGGTCGAACAAGAACTCTCCTGCCTCTTTCAGCAGCAGCCACTGGAAATCCAGGTTCTCCCACTTTCAGCCGATGCTTATCGTCAATGCACACCAGTGTACAGTTCTCTTTCAGCTTTATGGCATATTCCCGCAGGTATCGAAAAACTGCAGCCGCATAATATTCGTCTTGGTGGGATTTCCTGAATTGCCGCTTTTGAATCATGAAACGGACATTGAGTCATCCAGTGTACTGCAAATAAACGCGTGCTTTTGGTGTTTTGGGCCAAAACTGTAACCTCAGCCATTCCTCACTTGGAATTGCA